CACACACACACACACACACACACACACACACACACACACACACACACACACACACACACACACACACACAAATTTACAAAACCCAGTGATCCCAAATGATGATGATGACACTCCCTCCTTGCTTTTTGCAAGCTTGTGCCTTCACCCTGTCTGAGATCATCACTGTGGCCATTGAAGCAGTCCCAGTCCGTTGTTTGATACTGCACTTTTCTGGAGATTGTGATTTTTGTATTTTCTTCAACAATTTCTTCTAATAAAATTGAAGTGGTTTTAAACCCAGAGCACATCATTTGTTTTACTTTGACTGCAAAACTATTATTTCCTTTTACATCTTTTTTTTCCCTTTAAACACCAAGAGTAATTTAGAGCTTCACTGTTATTCCTGTTTATTCAGCCACACTAATGTTTCTTTATTATTCATGTTTAAGCTGAACAAATGCCTCAGTTATAGTTCGATACCAGTGTGCCCATTTTTTGTTTACTTGTTATTTAACTAAGGCTTCCTTTAAGCAAACAACAAGCAGAACGGTGTGAACAGACCACAGACTGATCTGAATACAGACCTTTTCCTGCTGGTGCAAATTTATTTGTCTGAAGCCTCAGGCCATCTGGCAAATCGCACCACTTAATGGTAATCTTCTGTCCAATGAGCCTGATTAATTCAGTGCACATTACCATGTCTTGATAAGAACACATACAGCGCCCTCATGTGGATTCAACATAATACTGCAATACAAGGGGTGAAAGTCACAGCATTTGGTATTTACTCAACACAAATCCATAAAATTAGGACAAATTGTCAGGTAAGACCATCTTGTCAAGTAAAACAAAAATATTTTTATTACCATAAGACCTCAAAAGGCAGAAAGTAAAACTGTATTTAACATTTAAAGTCATGAAGCTAAACTACACAATAGCATTTACAACACAACCTCACAACTGTGATGCACAGCCCATTTGTAAGTATTTACACTTGTCAGTGAACAGAACCGAACAAATCACATTTTCAGAAGTTTATTATAACATCTTCCAAATTTATCCACTGTTTGATGATAATTTAGACCTTGACCAAAACAGAAATTATTTGTTGTTTTAAGTTAAGTTAAGTTAAGTTAAGTTAAGTTTATTCATTTCCTATCATAAATTCAACAAACAATAAAAATACAAATCATAAATTAAATGAAAGGTAGCAGAAGAAAAAAAAACCTTGTCATATCTGCCCCTTTTTCCTCAAATAAATTAATTCAATCAAAAATAATCTTCAGTTTACAAAAAACAAAAAACAAAAAAAACAAAACAAAAAACAAAAAATAATAATTATTTAAATAAATAAATTATTTGTTGATGAGAGCTATAATGCAGTCCACAGAAGAAAACAAAATACACAACAAAGAATGTCTCTCATTTATTTTTTGTTGTTTTTAACTTAGAAAATCTCACTGTTGCATCAGATTCTCGCTGAAAATACAGTAGAACCACCTGGCTCTAAATAATTCCACACAAATGTGTACAGCATGCATGATTTATGAGCAAGTGTGGCATTTTTTAAGGCTCAAAGCTTTGGCATAGATGTCATGTACCCACCGTAGGTTTTCTTTGGGTTTTTGGACGATGAAGCTGCAGTTTCATTTGTATAATTCAGAGGTACACTTTGTGACTAAGACAGAGACACGCTTTTCTTTTAAAAGAACTGCTGGCATAAAACAGAAAATTTTATAATTCTGAGAGTAAATAAGATCTTTTTCAATGAGCATAAACAAAATTTATAGTTTTTATACACAATTTTATTTGAATATAAAAATTTTTTGTGACAACCTGAAGCTGTATTTATTTTTTAAATTTAAACGCATAAATATGAATGATTAATAGCAGTTCTGAGGACAATTATTATCTCCATGCACCGTGCCAAGTGAGCATCTTGATCAAAACTGTCTAACGCTAACTTGACAGAAATGTAATGGTTAATGAAACAGTGTTTCCATTGACTTCTGCTGTGGTGGGCAGTAGTAATCTAAAAATTAGTTCCACTAACCCTAAAGCACTAACTCTAATATTTAGGTCCCCTACTTCAAAAGCATTAATGCATTGAAAAATTTAGCAAAATCTAATTCGAAAACACTAAAATAACCCAGTCAACCCATGAACATTCTTCAACAGACAACATGAGTCACATATTACCATGTTGCTCTCTTCAGGCTTATCGTTGATATTCTACAGCCACATTTGAGTTCATTTATTGTTAATATGTCACATAGTGGATAAGTGACACATATGAACAAAATGTATGATGGCTTTTACATTCAGTTGTTAACATTAACATTGATCAATAACATTTAAAGACCCGAGTTAGGGCTTCTAAGTTTACCCTTTAAATTTAGCAAGTGCTAATCCATTAATAAATTCAAAAATAAGCAAAAGCCCTAAAGCACTAATCAGGATAGTTCTTCTATTAGTGCTTTAGGGCTTTAGGGGAACTGTGTCCACCACTGGACTTCTGCTACTCCAATTTAGACTGAGTAAAAAAAAGAAAATCATTTTCAGAAAGGCAGAATATCACCAGTCAGTCTGATGTTCACCAGTAAAAAAAAAAAAGTCAAAAAATATTGGAGCAATTTCAGTGAAAAGCTGATAATCTGAACTAAAATCATTATTTAACCTGCATACGTTTGTCAAATACAAGTGGAAAGTTTGCAAACTCTTATCCTCCAGGATGTGCAGCGACTGCCTTCGGTAACTGTTTGACTGAGTGTAATTATTATTGTTTTGCTTCAGGCGATTATGCAGAGTGAAGAATGATTGACATGGGTGTTCATGGGTCGATGTAGCGAGTTTCCTAGACTGGCCCCCTTCCTTTGTGATACCCTCAACTCAGTGCTGAGGAATGACATGAATACAGTGGCACCTAAACTTATAGCTGCAATTAACAGGAAGTCTTCAGTTATGTGCAGTCGTTACAGATCCTTCCTGTTGGAATATTTTTATCTTGCTTTTAGAGGAGAGTTTCCAGACTCAGCACTGGATTGAATCACTTTGGATTGGCATTTCCGCACTGCGGGATGATATTCTAAAAATATATATCCTTTTCATTTAGTCCTAAATCACTTTTGGCTGTTCCTTCCAAAGCACCAGGGTTACACTGACAGCAAAAAAAGACACATTCCTGTGGCTGCATGAATATGGGAAGACTTGGCAGTGACACACAGAACAATCATTTGGCCACAGTTACTCTCCTGAGACTGAGGATCATTAGTGCCATTTTAACGCACTCTCAGAAGAGCTGTTTTAAGATGCAGCATAAACTTTACTGCTGGTGTTTGGAGCCACAAACTATAATCTGTTACCTGCAGAATTTTACAAACACAGTTGGAAAGGCGAGAGGGGCCACATGGAGAAGAAGTCAACAATAATGTTCTTCAGAAAAGTGGAGGGAGGTAAAGCTTGATACTGGATGGTCTTTGTTCTTCTTTGTGAAACAAAAGAAACATTCACTCACTACTCCCTAAAAGTCATTTTAATAACAATCTGAAGAAATGCTGATGCATTTTGGATTTTAAATAATAAATATGTCTAAAAATATTACTATTTTTTTTAATTCCAGAAATGAAACATCCCTCCAATAATTGTCCTCGTACAAACAGTTCATGTGGACCAGGATGAAGCAGGCTGCGATGGCTGCCTTTCAATAAAGCTTGCAATGTGAACAGATGGCTTCGATTAATGTGAAGCCTCCAGACAGGCTCTCCTGAGATGCCTCCCATTACCTAAATGAGACATTTGTGGGCAATAGTATTGTTTGTCAAGTTGTCACCAGTTCAACCAGTGATGTAAGTGAGAGTTTGCGGCTTTGGAAGTCAAAAAGTGTGACATCATCTTACAGTACTTATCCTGGATCGTTTCTGAGAAAGACGTCCTGTAGAAATGGTCAAAGAAAAAAAAGTTATTTTCCCCAAAAGGATGATTAAACACACAATTCAAAGTACAATAACAACAGACATGGCATATTTTTAATACAAAATTCTAACAAAAGAACATTTGTTACAGAGATTAAAATAAATACAGTGCTACATGATGCACACAAGAGTCTTTCAGTTAAGAGGAGAACCATTTTAGAGCACACAAGAAAAACAGTTAGAATAAATAAAATAATATAAAAACAAATTTCTAAATAAAGATTGCACATGACACTGTAGCAACACATAAAAGGAAATTTGGCCATCTTGAAGTGGGTTTCTGTGTAAAATATCTCATCTGAAATGCTGTTTTATGTACTGTTAGACCATTAGCAATGTTACGTCATACAGTAATGTTCATGAAATTCTTTGTTCTAAAATGGCACCAGCAGCTGTAACATGTAGCCCTTTTGGGGCATCTAGAGGTCACGTCCATCAGGAATTTTTACATTATTTATACTGAAGTGTAACTGTGTTATGCAAAACTGCAGGTGTATTAAAAGAGTGAATACTAATGAGTGCATAAAGAAGTTCTAAGAACTGGAGTTATTTTAAGATATTAGTAACGTAATTCATTTTGGAAGCATGAACTGTAAAATAAGAACTTATGTTGATTCACATCATTTTTACCTTGCTGTTTTATGTTCCAATATCCCTTTTTCTTATAAATTTAGTTATATAGTCATGTCATGTTTTAAATAAAACTTTTGTTTGATTTTAACAGCTTCAGGTGTTTTTATACCTGCAGGATGTGACCACTGGATGACCAGGAAGTGGTACATTTTACAACTGTTGGTGCTAATATTGCTTGTAAATAAGCATCTTTTTATGTAAAGAACAATTAAATGCAAAATAAGTGGAAGATGGAAAGTTAATAAAATAACATTTTGCATTAAACACAAAGAAATTTTAGGTTTTAGCTAATTTGCTCCAATTATTAGCTCATCAATCAAGTTCGAATTAAATTATTTTTCTTTCTGGCTGTTCAAGAAGCAATATATGACAGTTATGATATAAAATATTCATAGTTTTACACAGAAATCCATATCATATCACATCATGTAAATGTAAATTTGCTAGCAAGTGTAATGTTTTAATGATTGTTATTTTTTTAAGTTCAAGACTGGTGAGAATATTCATATAAGTGAGTGAAGTACATATAAAAATACACAACCTGTGTCTGAAGTTAGAGGTAGCTTTCTTAAACTAATTACAGATCCAGATTTTCTCTCTGTCGGCCATGTTTGCCTCCTCAGCCTTGTGTGAAGCAGTTCTACAAGAGGCAGCTCCATCCAGAACCATTCTGGGAGGATGCAGTCGAACTGGGTCTCATCTCAGGAGAGCACAGTGAGGACTACAGTTCCCTTGGTCTTTTTCAGAATATCCACAGCTTCAGCGTGAGTCACACCCTCCAGGCAGTGTCCATTCACAGCGATGATCTGATCGCCACGTTTCAGCCTGCCGTCTTCAATGGCTGCCCCCTGCAAGAGCGAGAGATACCGGTCACAGACTTCAGTCCGGAGTTCCCTATCACCACCAACATTTAAAGTCTCTCAAAATTGCAAGTTGGAGAATATTTTGAAAAACAAGATTGTCTTTGAAGTTATTTTATCAAATATGTAAAAAATGTTTTTCCTTTCTGAACATTTTATTTTAAGTGAACAAGTTTCCTAAATATAAATGTTGAATAAAGTGGTGAAAAACTTATGGTGAAAGATGAAAACATCCCTTCTCAGAAGCTGTTTTTCTCACCTTGTTGAAAATAGTTTTGACGTAGATCGGCAGATCCCCGTAAGGGCTGCCAAACCCTCCTACGATGCTGAAGCCCAGGCCTGACGGGCCCCTCTCCAGGGTGATGGTCTTGTACATGCGTGGACTGTGGGGATCATAAAGTGGAACAAACAGTGTGTGTTCATGCCCGAAAGTACTACTGTGCTTGCCTTTTGAAGATGCAGGTTGCATCAGCTGAGCTGCGGTCTACTTTTGTCTACTTTTTGTTTCCTTTCTTTGCTTTGATCAAACTGGATATAAAAACATAAAAAAATAAATAAAATCAGAAAGCAGTGCAGCTGGAGACATGCATAAGGAGATTCCTACCAGAAGTTAATGTGGGAGCAGGTCATGCTGCTTGTTAGGTCTGATGACCTGACATCCTCACCGCTGGGATTCTGTGGGCTGCAGCCATCAAAACCTGATGTCACCTAGTCGTACAAATATTAGACAAACACAGCATATTATAACACCATAACCAGTACTGCAGGAGCATTCTGGACACTTTGGACATGTACATTTCCTTCCTCCTTTTTTTTGGCACGACTTGACTGTTGTCAGGCACATTAAAAACCTGCACACCTCCAGGCCAGGTAGAACCATAAATTCAGATCTAACATGATGAGTGATGTTCTTTTGTGTCACCGTTAACCATGGCCACACAATATTCGGTAAAAACATTGTGATCCAAGATAAAACAATATTATGAAATGTTACAATGTTAATTGTGATAAAAGACATTTTCCTCACTCCATTCTTCTTCTTTTGTCATTAAAATTTGTGAAGTTTGCATATTTAGTGCAATGAATTTCAATCTATATGATGCTAATATTGTAATGATGCTATATTTTCAATATATTGTACATTTGATAAAGCTGTTGCCTCTCAGTGGGAAGGTTGCCAGATCAAACCTCAGCCTGGGGCCTTTATGGATACAGCGAGCATATTCTGGGTTTTCTCTACGAAATCTGGTTTCCTCCCACAGACTAAAAACATGCATGTGATGTTAATTAGAAACTGTAAATTGCCCCTGGGTGTTTGTCACGTTTCTCTCTATGCATCCCTGTGATGGACACGCATCCTGTCCAGGGTGTTCCCTGCCTCTCGCACAGTGACTGCTGGACACAGGCGCCAGCCACATGACGCTCTAAAAATGGTCAATTGTCTCCCTTGCAGCACATTTTCCAGTGCCTCACAGATGTGAGCTCTCTTCCTGGTAAAAGCCTTACAGTATATTAAACCCGTTCCTATTCTCAGCACTGTCTTGGGGGCTTTTCTAAAAGTAAAAAAGATGACCTAAGGTAAGCAGACTATGAAGCATTCCTGTCTCTCTTTGACAGCGCAGTAGAAAATTTTTGCTGACACAATCTCACGAAGGCATCCTGGCTGACATTCATTATGCACTGACTACAGTATGTCTCACTGTGACAGCACCTGCAGAGTGATGGTTCCGGTGGTGTTCTTCAGCAGGGCTCCAGCCTGGTCGTGAGTCATTCCCTCAGTGGACACATCATTGATGCTGAGGATCCTGTCTCCGATCTGAACGACACACACAAACTCTGATTTATTTTTATACCCCCCGTTAGGACTGTAGATTGACTTCCATTCATTTTCTGGTCATTTTATAGCCTAACTCTGACCATTTACCCTATAATTAACCTCACAGGTACTTGACACTAAAATTAACCTAAACTTAATTCAAACCTAAACCTAACCCACCACCTGAAATTAGCACCCATACCTGTGGAGACTGGGGATTGGTCCCCACGATGCACATTCAGTCCACATTTCTTTTTCTAGAAAGTGGTTCCCGCTACGTAGCAAAAACGTGCCCACGCACACGCACACACAGACACTCAAACTTTTACTTTTGCTTTTGAGAAAAAAAAATCATTGAGAATCATTCCATAGCAGGAGACATTGACAAAATCCAGGCAAGGGCCAGAACTTTTTGTAGCAGATGATGAGAAGAGGGAAAAAATAAAACTTGAGGAAATACATTTTTTTTGTGAATGACTTCCCTACAACTTGCTGAAAAAGCTATAAATGGGTTGTTAAAGCTAAAAAAAAGGCAAACCACAAGCTCAGAGCCAAAATTAGCTCATACAAAATTATAGTGAAAAATTCGAAATGCATTAAACAAAATCACCATTCATAGTAATTGTACAACAGAAATAGTCCAATTTTGTATGCTTAGGCTGTGATGGCTCAGTACAATGATACTGTAATGTTGAGACTGCAGGTTTGAGGCCAGGTTGTATCAGGCAGGTTTCTTAAAAAAATTCTGAAACAACATAGTTGATTAAACTGATTTGTGTGTGTGTGTGTGTGTGTGTGTGTGTGTGTGTGTGTGTGTGTGTGTGTGNTGTGTGTGTGTGTGTGTGTGTGTGTGTGTGTGTGTGTGTGTGTGTGTGTGTGTGTGTGTGTGTGTGTGTGTGTGTTTTAATATATATTGAGCCTGAATATTGGTCAACTATATTTTAAGGAAACATAAAGATAAACATTTAGTTCATGTGCAAGAATTACAAAAATATCCCTCTGCAAGAGCTCTAACCAAAGTGGACCTTGAAAATTGCAGCTCTACGAGCCAGCACTAGATAATCACTGCTCTGGAGTATTTATTAGTATTTTTTTAATAACTTGCATCCATTAAAATACCCTTTTTATTTAAAACTATTCTTCCTCCCATTATATATTACCCAAAATATTGTTTTAAGCATTTTTTGTGACCATTTAATGGAATGTTTCTTCAGAGACTGAGTATCACCATGTGATGACTACAACAAACACATATGTATCACTGCTTACCTGTATGTCCTGTGTTTTGGCAGCCAGTCCATTGGTATCCATGGTAGCAATAAAAAGAAATACGTTGCCATGGGGACTGCCGAGTCCTCCAGCTAAAGTGATGCCCAGATTGTCACATGGACCCTTTGAGAAAATACCCAACATACAGTAAATGCCTTGGCAGTTTAAGCCTAAAAAAGCATATGGCCAAATGGGAAAAATTGGTTATCTTTAATTTGACCTGAACTCCAAATTCAAAATCCTTAAAGAAAAGACAAGTTTATTTCTTGTACACATCAGTCAAATATAATTCAAGTTTGGTCACCTTTGATATTGTTACTTTTCTGATGACAGGGTCTTGAAGCACTGTGATAATTAAAAAGATTAAAAATGTATATGTATATGCTTAAAGAAAATTGTGATACTTTTAATTTTAGGAAGGAAAAAAGTTATCAAAAGGACTCACTGTGGCTTCCTGTTTTGTTGTATATTTCCCTCTGGTGGCTAAAGACTGCATCACATCCACTTGTGGGCGTCGTGGTCGAACAGTCAGAGTCTTCATTCTGGATAAAACAAAACTTAAAATATTCCTAAGTTTACAAGATAACAACATTAAAATATTGAAAAACAAAACAAAACAACAAAAAAAGTAAAAACACTCAAAGAAAAAAATAGAACTTAAACTACACACAAGTGTAGATAAATAAAGCTCAAAAGCAACATTGTACTTTGTCTTAATGCTGCATCAGTATTGACTGATGTTTTGTTTTACATCCCTGATTAACAGAAACATTTTACCTGACATCTGTGAGAATATTGCACCCCAGCTTTAAAACGGGCGACTTCCAAGTGGACACATCCAGTGCAACTCTGAGAGAGAAGGAACATAAAACAAAGAAACAGATTAAAATTGCATACGTGTGTGTGTGTGTGTGTGTGTGTGTGTGTGTGTGTGTGTGTGTGTGTGTGTGTGTGTGTGNGTGTGTGTGTGTGTGTGTGTGTGTGTGTGTGTGTGTGTGTGTGTGTGTGTGTGTGTGTGTGTGCATGCTGAAACATTTGTAATGTTATTATGTATGACCAAGCTAAACCTGCAGAAGCGTCTGTGCGTGCTCCTGAGACGCTGCACGAACATCCTCCCCGTTGATTGACAGAATCTGGTCACCGTGCGACAACCTTCCATCTGAATTTGCTACGCCTCCTCTGATGATTTCTGACACAAATATGCCTGTGTCATTGCTGTTTGAAGAGAGCTGGAGTCAAAAACTGCTGAGTCGAGCTTAATCTTTGACCTGTAAGACTGCAGTTTTCTGTGATGTCAAACTCTATTGTGAAATATTATAACACATCTAAACTCTTTAGGAATAATATCAAGATTAGAAAAGTTACATGAGGCTACAACAGTAACTAAAGTCAGTGTCTTACAGGGATTGTAATGTTTGCCGAGTATTTGGGAACTCAAAATTACAAAATCGCATGCTATTTTTGTGCTGCTTTCTTACTAAGTTTTGAGTTTTTGCAAAAATGCAGCTCTAGTACTCTACAGCATATGAAAAAGAATCAAATGAAAGTTTCATGAATTTCTGCTGCAAACCTATTGAGTTTTGTTGGAGCAACTCAGCCTTACCTCTTTGCCACTATGGTGAATCCCAGTCCCTCTCCAGGACGAGGTTCGAGCTCCAGACTGAAGACGTCCCACAGGTCCTCCTCCCTGTAGGCCTCCTGGTGCCTGAAGACACACAAGCGAACGCGCTGCGTGGTGAGCCGCAGCACAGCAATGGCCTCGTCATGTGTGGCCTGCCGCAGGTCGATGCCGTTCACCTGAGGAGAGAAAAAAAAAAAAATTCTTTAAAGGGGATTTATAAAATGATCATAATTAGAAAGATGGACGTGTTATTGCACGTGTAGAAAAAATGTTGGACCTTTTTTTCGTTTTAAATTGATATATTTTACTACATTACCTGTATTCCTCAAAGTTTAAACAAATATATTTTCTAATCTGTTAGAGCTTATCATGTGTTGATAATGACTCTCAGCTACTACCACGTCATGATTGATCTCAGTAATTTTAAAATGGACCGAGCCACAGCCATGACTGTGCTTGCACAGGCCAGTTTGCTGTGAGAGCTATGAGTCTTGAATCAGGTTGACTCCAAAAATTCACTGCTTGTTAAGCATCCAGTAATTTCTTTATGACAGTTTCATCAAAATCCCTTCTCTGGTTCATGATAACTTTTTGCTGACAAACATATCTACCTAAAACTGGTCAAATAATAACAAAATATGTATGTAAATATTGCCCACCGTGTGTATGTATCCATCATACCTCTAATATTTGGTCTCCAGCCTGCAGCCTTCCATCTCTCTGAGCTGCTCCTCCATCATTGACTTCATGGATTATTACTGCCCCCTGGTGTAAAAATGATAAATCCCTCATCATTACTGAAAACAATGTGACAAAAGACAAGAAACAATAATAAATAAATAAATAAATGCATGCACATTCATTCTGCTTAATTGGCTGCTGTGAGGTTGCTTATTTTTGATTAACAGGAACTGGTAAAAAAAATGATTACACATTATTTTCCAGTTTAGATGTTGCTGCTTAATTTGTACAAAATATAACAAATCATCCATGACTGGAAGGGTTTATTAAAATGTTGATTTCAAATACCAGCTGCTTGTTCTCACCAGCAGAGTGTCACATCCTCCTACAATGCTGAGGCCCAGGCCCAAACTTCCTTTACTGATCTCTATGGTTGTTTCCCTCCCAGCATCAAGTGGGCAGCCCCGGGGATCAGGCGTTGGGGGAGGGCTGCTTAGGCAATCAGAACGTTCCACTGGAGAGGTTCGCATTGCATCAAGAGATGAAGAGGGGGTTGGAGAGAGCTGAAGGATTTCAGAGGAAGCAGCAGGGAGGGAGGAAGGACAAGAAAGTGAAGAGGAGCAAGAAAGAGAAGAAGTGACAGAGACACTCTTGGAATGAGCGATAGAGAGCTTGACAGTGACCTGGTGTTTGAGAATCAAACTGGACACCTGAATATAAAGAGGACAGGCGACTCATAAATCATTGAATCGTCTTGACCTTGAAGAGCACATTAAGCAGTATTTGTGCGTGTGTGGGCGTTTGAACCTTTTTCACTGACATTCCATTCACGGCTTCATCACCCACTGCAACGATTCTGTCTCCAACTTTTATCCTGCCATCCTACATGCAGAAGCAAGAACAAAAAAATGTAAAGTAGGGGAAATGTATGAAACTGTGCGATTAACAAGCATTAAAGGGATTAAAAATCAAAGACACCCTCTGGATAAATATCTGCATTGGTGCTGCCTGGGGCCAAACATAAAAGCTTATTAACACACGACGACAAGCTTTTTACAAAACGGCACCCAACGTTTAGAACTAAATCGAGTTCCAAATGTTGGAACCTTTAGATCAAAGTTCACATTTACGCACACTTTACTGTAATGTGATGATTTATGTATTTAATCTGATAAATGTGGGATTACAAATCAAACCACTGAGGATTAATAGACTGAAAAGAAAGAATGAAATTGCTTACAGCCCATGTGCTGAAAATGTTCAGTAATTAATCAAGTCATTGCAGTGGTAATAATTAATGAGTTCTGTATTGATGAAGCCTATAAAGTAAAAATTACTTTTAGCAATGAATTAGGACTTTTTTTGCCTAAATAAATATCATGTCATAATTTGTAGTTCAATATGTTTTTTTAAGTATTTTCTGGTTTGAGTAATTTTTTTTTCTTTTTCATTTAATCTTTAACTGACTGTGGAGTTCCACAAGGATCTGCATTATGACTGATACTTTTGACAAGCCAGAAACAACACGTAAAGATGGAATTAAACGATCCATAATTTTCCCTTCTGCAAATAGTATGGTTACCGTTAGATCACCTGAGGAAAATCATGCCAGATCCAGTCTTTACACTGACTGGTCATTTAAGATATACTCTATGTTTTTTTTCTTATTATTTAAATTGTTTTGTCTAACTTACAGTACCATACTCTGTCTTAAATTAACACAGCAAAAGATAAGGGATATCCCAAAATTGCCTGAGAAGCCTTCCCACTGATCCACATTACTGCAGTATGGGAGATGATCTCTCCAAGATTTAAGCTTCTTTTCACAGACTCTTTGTTAAATTTAGAAATAAAAAACGTTTTCAATATAAATACAACTGAATTAACACATTTTGTAACATTTTCTTGTAATTGCATATTTTTTTTGCAAAGGCTTAATCAGCCGGATTATTTGTAGTAATAAATGTTTCAAAAAGTAAACTGGGAGTCAGAGACTTTAGTTTCAAGCACAACAAGCTCCTAAGTTGGAGTTCAGGCCAGGCCCTGGTGACCCGCAGCCTTCCCTTTAGGCCCACATCTTCACTACAAGCGTGTCAAATATGAGAGTAAGAAAATTCAGTATTGTTGGTCATAAAATCCCTGGGCAAATGACATATCATTGGTGTTGTTCAAAATGGTACCAAATGTAATTCCAACAGTTTTGCTGAAGTCCCACCTTACTGGCAGTACCATGCTGAATTAGAGACCCGACCACCACGCCATTATTGGTCTTGTCCTCACCGAGGCAAAGGCCCAGGCCTGCATTGTCCTGGAAAGAGATGTGACGTGCACAGCTTTAAGTCTGACAGCCAAGACAAATTAAAGTCAGATCAAGGAAAAGCAGTGACTGTTTGAAACCTGAGGTAGGATGATGTGCTCAATGTCTCTGGATAATCCTTCACACGCTGCCGTGTCTGGCTGGGAGTTCACGATGTCCTCACACTCTTTCTTAATTCCCTTCACCTGCTGACCTGCTTTATTTCTAGTAATGGGACACTTGTCAAAGCCTTGATTCTTTTTAGTGAAGATTTACATTTATTTTCAGTATTTTTACCTGATGAGAATAATCTTGACTTCAGACGGGGCGTTATTGATGATTGTTGAGGCATTTTGGTGACTTCGGCCATACAGAATTTGTCCGTTAATCTAAAAGATACATAACATGTAATATATTTTTTTCAACAATAAAAAGCCTTCTAAGCACTTGGACATACTCTCCCACCAGAAGTCTTTTTCTTGAATTATTCTATCTCCTAATATATTTTTGTTCCTGTAATATTTTACTTGTCTTTCTTTCTTTTTCACATTAGGATTTTTAATTTCCTTGCTTTTTCTAGCTTTTTCTTTTGAACACTCTACACAAATCCTAGTATTAATTTAAATAATACATCTTCTGCGCAATTACCTAATTTTTTTCATCTTATTCATATCCAGTTCACAACCATCTATACCAAGTACCTTACCAAGGTACCATTACTTTACTTCTTACCTCAAGTAGCTCGTCTCCAACTTGTATCCTCCCATCCAACCCTGCAGGCCCTTGAGGGTCTACGTCTGCCACATAGACACTCATGCGAGCCCTGGAACCCTCCTTGTTGCCTGTGAGGCTGATTCCCAGACCACGAGCTGTAGAGTCTTTCTCCAGCTCAATCATGTGGAGCTTCCCTGACAGGCTGCCATAGCGCTGAAGCATCTTCTCTAGGAGGGAGAGAGTGTTAACAAACAAGAGGTTGTTAGAGGAGGAATATAGTGGCTCAGCCAAAACATGTGGCCTACTACATCTAATGACTGACACTTGGAGGCATGTGGAAAAGCATTACACCCTGAAGGACGATATGTGTGTGTTGCTGCATTTACACCCAGCAGGGATATCGCGCTGTGGGAAAGGAGGACAGTGTCAGTGTTTCTTTTCAATGCACATATTTAATATATTGTATACTGTACGGGTGTGTGTAAGCCCTGTAATGTTTCACTGACCTGTGGATATACTTTCAGTGTATGGATCTCAGTTTGGAAAACTAAAGAAACTTTTTGATGTGTCCATGTGAGTATGTGTGTTTGTGTGTGTGTTTGCTTTCATCTAATAGAAGTTTGTGATAAAAATGGCCGCCGGTGTTTGCAACAAAGATCTGACTAATTTTTGCACTTAGCTCCAGGTGAGTACAAAACTTTTTTTTTCAGGTCAAAGGCTACCTCATATAGTCAGGCTTCAAAATCTACTTTAAAAGCTACTTTAGCACCATTTTTAATGATAAACCTGCTTGTGTGGCCAGATTTGTTTCCCTTCCCTCTGCTCAGAAAGACCCTTTTTTTGTTTGTGTTTCTGCTGAATGAGATGATAAAGGAAGCACTGGATCACATCTCCTTAACATTTACACAATTTGTCCAGCTGTTATCCTGGCTGCTGCAGATAGTTCCAGGTCAAATCCTTCACTTCAGAAGTTTCCAAAGCAAATTCATTGTCCGGTCCAGCTGGCGTCTCTTGTAAATGTCATGAAAACATTTTAAGATAATGTTCCAAATTGTAAAAAAATAATAATGACAACGAGCTTGTTCTCTCATCACAGGTGTGTATGTGGAACATCACCCTTCCTTCTTGGCTTTGAGGCATCCCTGTTTATGTTTCTATGGTGTCTTTATGATAGCTACACACTTACTCCTGCTGGTGTCATCCCCGCGTTCAGCCATCGCCGCAACTGGTGCTGTGACATTTACGGGGCTTCTCCGATCCACTCTATCAGATGCCGATGAAGGTGCCTTGGGGAGAAGTTTTTGCATTATTGAAAAGGCAGAGTTTGAGATGCCTCAGGGGTCCTTCAGGCGTGAGCTGGATGACCCCTGAGGCGTGTTCGGTGTACTTGAAGAAGCAAAGGGAAACACTGATGAACAGAATGAATTAATGAACAAAAGTTTTTTTAACGTCAGCTATAATTAACATGAAAGATGGCTGGAATCATGCATTATTTTGTAGCAAACTTATACCAGCAGAAAAATAAAACTTCAAAAGAGCACATTCTGTATTTAGAGCAATGCATCTCCATCAAAGGAAGAATAACAAAGAATTTCAACAAGCAAGGTAGCTGCTGTGGGACTTTGAACTGCAGGGGTTCTATTTACAAATATGCACCTTAATTACATTTTTTTTTGCGAATTCTTTTGATGTAAATGCAAGGCTGCCTTTAAGACTCGTAGTAACACACATGCACATGTGTACGAACCTTAAAGGGTGTGGGAGTGAAGGGGTTTGCATGGGAGATACTAAGGAGAAGAGTGCTGAGAGTTTCTGCTTCCTGGGATCACAAAGGGAAACAGATTTGGTTCTGCAGAAAAATGCTAGCAAAACAGAATTTTTCCACCCTTAAAAAAAACCCCTGTTCTTCAGTCCTTTTGGGTTTCTGTGTAGGTGTTAATGACTCATCGCGCTATATATAATCTGGTGTATATATAACAGTCTTGATTCAGTGCTGTCAAACACTGCCAAACATCAGTAACTGTGTGGGAACAGAAATTAGAAAGAAAAAAAATAATAAATTGACAGCTTGTCATTCCTTCCAGTGAAAAGTTATGTTTTGGTCACAGTGGTTGAAACAAAAAGAAAAGAAAAGTACTGTCGTTACAACTTTTCACCTCTGTGTGTCAGTGTTAAGTTTATATTTTGATGCAAATTTTCTTTTCATTAAAAAAATATTTTTCGTCAAAGCTGGAGCTAAATATATACCTTTTTATCTCAGACGGACAAAATACGACACTTAAAATTGGCAGAAGAGCAGCCTTACCTTGTTGATGTGTGTGTTGGACAGTGGTGTTGGAGATAGTCTTTCATGATTGATGGGATTAGGAGACTGTGGAGGAAACACAAGATTTAGAGTAGACAGATGAAAACCAATAGGACAGTGACATCTGAATACAATTGTGATTACATTATCAGTGAATAGATACTTTTATTTAATATCCTATCTGTCTTGGGAACACCTTGTTTTCCTGTTACAAACATTGATACACATTTTCTGGTGATTTCTGATAAAATGCACACCGAAACCTTCATTTAAGCTTCCAAAAGCAATGACATGAGCAAACAGAAGTGGCCTCTTTTTAACATTTGTGTTAAAACTGAACGCAAAAGCATCAAGAAATTGAGCTGCTTTATAATGAGAAGTATGACAATGTAACATAAACCACAGAAAGCATTAGAAGTGGAGAAAAATGTAAAGTTTGTTGTGTCTGAGATGCAATACCTGAGATCTGTCTAGTCCAGACTGGACTACGAGGAACACAGAGTCTCCGGCGCAGCGGATGGCCTCCACGGCCTGCTCATGACTGGCGTCTCTCAGGTCCACACCACTCACCTTGACCAAAAGAGCAGATGTTACAGCATAAACAATGCAAACAATATTAAGTCTTGACCCTTTAGGGTTTTTTCTTTGACTGATACAATTTTGTAGACCTCAGGGGAGATGATTGTTGATTTAATGAGATAAGTCTTTGGGCTGGTCTTACTTTATAAAAACTCCAGTTACTTAGCAATGTAGTATATGCTTATAGTAGGATGTGATTTAAGGTAAATAATAACCAAAATATTAGAAACATCTACAGTATAAGGCTTTGTTTTAAGGCCAGCTTCACACTGCAGGCACAGTACAGAGGATATATTGGGCTTTGTGTGCTGCAGAGCAGTTCACATTGCAGCCATCTTGCACAAACAGTACATATTGTATATATGCATTTGCAAATAGTACACTGAATCCACTGCTTTACATGCACAGGGCCCTTTAGACGACTTTATCCTCATATCCTAAATGTGTTAAAGACCACATAGACCAGTAGAGATGACTAATGATCATTGAGGCATTGACTTTGGCTGAGACCCATGGACAGTAAACATCCTTAATTAGTAAATAATCACATTGACATATGGAGGTTTAGTCCACTAACAACATATGCACCTACTAATTAACTGTCTTAGCATGCTCAGCCGTGGCTGATGTAGACTATTCCAAGAAATTTCTCAAAGTGGAATAATTAGTAACTCCACAAATACATTTATCTACACGTAAACATTATTTGTTACAATGCAGCTGTCAGAGGTCAGTTTTAAATGTCAGAAAATGCAACAAAAACAAATGTTTTCTATAAAGTTCACTCTACCCTACTCCAGATACCTTTTCAAATGAATCCTTTATTTTATTTATATATTTCTTTTGTCTGTTCACACAGCAACAAAAAATGATGTAATACCCATGCAAGTATACATCTAAGTATACCTAATTTCCCTCTGGGATCAATAAAGTATTTTTGAATTTGAATTGAATTGAATGCAGCACCACTAAATGATAAGAATATCTACATTAATGACACATTAAAATAAAAAATAAAAAATACATGCTCAGCATGGCTTAAGATTTTCCCAAAACTTTTGTTCTAGTATTTATAATGTATTGTAAGTCTTTCTTTGTGTGTGTGTGTGTGTGTGTGTGTGTGTGTGTGTGTGTGTGTGTGTGTGTGTGTG